TAAATGATGAGGACCCAGCCGCAGGCTGCTGCTGGCCCCTTCGTTACCGCTAACGAGCATCCGGCAGCCCCTGCTCGCTCCTCGGGCCAGGCACACTTGGAGAGAAACTCGAATACAAACCCCGGGACCAGAAGCAGGGAGGGAGAAAATAAAAAAAGCCCCCAAAAGCCCCCCCAAAAATCCCATCGCTCGTTTAGAAAAGGTTTTGGCAGTGTGGGTGTGGGGCGCAGCGGTGACAGGAAGGTGGCTGTGGGGTGGCAGTGACACCCCTATGGGCTCCCACCGAAAACTGTGGGGTTCTGCTGAGGGAAGGATGCCCGTGGATTGGGATTGGGGTGATGGAGATGGCTGAGGGGTGGGAGGCTGAGCCCCAAAAGAGGGTCCCCCCCCACCCAGGAGGTTGGGGGAGAGAGTCTCTGTGGTGGCCCCAAAAGTGATGCAACCCCAAACTGAGCTGAGGGGACTCAGCAGTCCCCCCTCCATGTGCTTGAAGGGGCTGCAACGTGCCTGGACCAGCATCAGGAAGGGTCCCACCCCCACGGCTCCCACCCATGGAGGTTGTGGGGGACACCCCAACCACTGCACTCACCACCTGGCCCCCCAAAAACCAGCTCAAAACCCATCACATCCCAGGGGCGAGGAGCCACTGTGCACAATGGTGGTGGCCCCACAGGAGGCATCCGCTGCTCCCCACTGCTGGGGTTGGATGCAGGGGAGCCCCCATCCATCCCAGCTCCAGGGGGGGTCTGCCCAGAGAGGGGGGGACACCCCTAGGGCCAGGTGGGGTGGGAGAAGGTGATGTTGTAGAGGCCGGCCCAGCTGGCGAAGACCCGTTTCTCGGTGATGAAGCGATGGTGGTTGCCCTTGCGGCTCCGCTCGTTGTGGATGTAGGTCGTGCACTCGTCGGGGCCCTTCGGCTCGTAGTAGTGGTAGGGCAGGCGGCGGGGTGGGGGCCGGTGGCTGCAGGGGGGGGAGAAAAAGCATGGGGTGAGCCCCACAGTGGGGCCTGGGGCTCGGGGTGAGGGTTTGAGGGGTCTCCTTACCCGCAGTAGTTGGGTGGCACCATGCCGTAGACGTGGACGGCGTCGCACAGCTCCACCGCGATCACCATGGTGAACCAGCCGGTGCTGAGCCATGAGCGTGACTTCTCCCTGGGAAGAAGAAACAGGACACACACACACACAGAGCCAAGGTGACACGGGTGATGGACCTCCCCCAGGGTCTCAATCCACCCCAGGGCCTCCCCATCCCAATGCCACAGCCATGGAGCAGCCCCAAGAATCATAGAATCACAGAATCACATGGGGTTGGAAGGGACCTCTGGAGATCATCTAGTCCAACCCCCTGCCAAAGCAGGTCCACCCAGAGCAGGTTGCACAGGAACGTGTCCAGGTGGGTTTTGAATGTCTCCAGAGAAGGAGACTCCACCACCTCTCTGGGCAGCCTCTTCCAGGGCTCTGCCACCCTCACAGGAAAGAAGTTCCTCCTCATGTTTAGATGGAACTTCTTATACTCAAGTTTGTGCCCATTTCCTCTTGTCCTGTCCCTGGGCACCACTGAAAAAAGACCAGCCCCGACCTCCTGACACCCACCCTTTAAGTATTTGTAACCATTGGCTAGATCCCCCCTCAGTCTCCTCTTTTCAAGACTAAAAAGACCCAAGTCCCTCAGCCTCTCAGAGCCAGCTCTGCCTCAGGGACCTGCAAAAGGAGGGGACACGGTGCAGGAGGTGGCTCCAAGGTACCTGTCCTTCCCAGTCTCCCCCCGAAAAAGGTCATCAAACTGCTTCATGCGGCCGGGGGAGACGACGTAGGCCGTCATGTTGGGGAAGGAGGCGCTGACGCGTTGGATGATCTTCAGGAGGCTCTTCTGCATCTTGGCGGGTGGCCCCCAGAAGATGAAGATGGTCTCGGGGGTCTTGTTGACGAACTCCTGGGGCCGCTTGAGGACACGGTAGAGGCTGGAGTGGGCCACCACGCGGAAGCTGGTCTTGTTGCCCACATCAGCCTCGTAGCCGGTGGTGGGAGCATCGTTCATGCGGATGGTGCATTCGGCCCCATCGATGGCCGTGCCCAGGCGGGTGCCCAGGAGGTGGCTGGAGCTGGTGACGACGACGCACTGGTGGCAGCGGGCAGTCAGGGTCTGTGGAACACAACTGCTGTGAGCAGGTGACCCTGGTGTCACTGCGACCCACCAGGGAGGGATGGAGCTGAGGCAGGGGGACAAGGCACCGCCATCCCCCACAGAGCCCCCCACCAGAGGGGATGATTGGGCTGGATGTTGGCAGAATCCTGCACCCACCACCGAGGTAGGAACCCACCACAGAGTCATAGAATCATAGAATTGTCCAGGCCGGAAGGGACCTCCAAAAGTCATCTAGTTCGACCTCCCTGCAGTCAGCAGGGACACCCCCAACTAGACCAGGTTGCCCAGGGCCTCATCGAGCCTCTCCTTGAATATCTCCAGGGAAGGGGCCTCAACCACCTCCCTGGGCAACCTGTTCCAGTGCTCCACCACCCTCACAGTGAAGAACTTTCTCCTGATCTCCAATCTAAATCTGCTCCCCTCCAGCTTAAAGCCATTGCCCCTCGTCCTGTCACTGCAGGCCTTTGTAAACAGGCTCTCCCTGGCCTTTCTGTAGGCTCCCCTTCAGGTACTGGAAGGCTGCTCTAAGGTCTCCCCGGAGCCTTCTCTTCTCCAGGCTGAACAACCCCAGCTCCCTCAGCCTGTCCTCGTAGCAGAGGTGCTGCAACCCCCTGATCATCCTCATGGACCTCCTTTCTAATACCTCACCCCTCAGTCTGTACTGATGGCGAGGATTGTTCCGGCCCAGGTGCAGAGCCTTGCACTTGTTCTTGTTGAACCTCACGAGGTTCACCTGGGCCCACCTCTCCAGCCTGTCCAGGTGACATCCCATCCCTCTGGTGTATCGACACCACCCATGCAGCTTGGTGTCCTCTGCAAACTTGCTGACGGTACCTTTAATCCCTCTGCCTATATCATTGATAAAAACGTTCAACAGTACCTGGCCCAGCTCGTACCTTGTTCCCGCAGACGGGCAGGTACCCGCTTTTCACCCCCCACTTCTTGAGGTCGGGGGGCCGGCGGGCTCTGCCCCGCAGGCGGCTGTAGGTGAAGACCTCGCTCCCGCTGCCGGAGCTGTAGATGATCAGCAACATGATCAGGGCAAAGAGGACCCCCAGGACGGCGGCGCGCTGGCTCTACGGGCAGGGGGGGGACAGCGTCAGCCGCTGCCCCCCACCCCACGGGTGTCAGCATCCAGCTTCCCCCCACCCTGTCCCATCCCGCAGCATCTCCAGCGGGGTGCCCAGTGTCCCCAGGGAGATGCCCGGTGTCCCCAGGGAGATGCCTGGTGTCCCCAGGGGGGGGATGTCCCATCACTCACCGCGCTCCCACTCATGTCTCCGCTCCGGCCTCAGTGCACAGCAGTCGCCGGCGTCCCGTGAGCACCTGCAAGGCATGGGGTGGTCACCCCCTCACGGTCCCCAGGTGGACCCCCGTGTCCCCCTTCCAAGGGGTGGAGAACCCCCCCAGTGCCGGTGTGGGGAAGGGAAAGGCAGGGGCTGGGCGAGCTCTGGGGTGTGGAGGAGCCAAACCTGACCATGGCTTGTGCCAGGGAGATGCCAGGGCAGGCTGGGCTCCTGACAGGGATTTATCCCACACCGGGGGTGGGTGGGGACAAAGCTACCCAAACCCGTGGGGTCAGGGCGGGTAAACCTGCTGGTGAAATCCCATTAAAACAACCAGCTCCAAAAAGGGTGGGGGAGAGAAGCTGAGACCTGAGCAACTCAGCTCACACATGGGCTCAAATCCAGCTGGAGCCGGCAGGGACCCCTCCAACCCCGGGGGTCCAAGGTGCAGGGGGTGTACCCCCATGCTGCTCACCCCCCCCTCGAGGGCAGGGGGGGTAACCAAGCTCCAACCCCCGCTTGCCCAAGGCTCGCCAAAATGGACTGACCCAATTTATTTTTTAAAGCCCTCGTTAGTGAGTCATGACAGTTCCCGGAGTACTCGGAGCAACTGGAAATTAAAAAAAAACCCTAAAGCCTCTACTAATTACCCTCGGGGGGGGAGGATGGGAGGCAGCAGCCAGGCTTCCACCCCCGGGGGGGCACCGGGGGCTCTCCCGGGGCCGGTGTCGATGGCTGGGAAGGTGCCAACCCACCCGGGGAGCCCTGGCACTGGGGGGGGCAAGGGGTGAAACACTGGGGAGGGTGACCAGGGGGGACCCAACATGCTGG